ATAATAATAATAATAATTTATCCGACTCTATTCGTACTTACATTATTTCCAACGTTCGAATAATGAAAAAAGGTAAAATATTTTTCGTTCGAATCGTTATTCAAATAATTCTTTGGCTAAATAACGACCAACTTTGCAGCCGAGTTCCGAACGGAGATGGGAGTGGTGACGCGAAAGATTCCATCCAGAAGCTCGATGTCAACGCGAGCGGAATCAGCGCGCAGACGCTGATCCTTCGTACTTATTACGTGGAGGCCTTCGCTCTCGACGAAAGCTGGCCCCTCAGCAAGTCGGAGTGGGCCGTGGTGACACAGGTGAAATCTAGACGCGCTGGATCTATCGTTCGAGCGAAGCCGTCCGTCGTCAGCTTAGGCAAGTCGGCGAAGTCCGAGTCGTCCAGGCTCAGGAGGACTTCCAGAACCTCCAGCGAAATCGGTCTGCTGGAGAAGCCTTACTGGGTCCTCCAGGTGGTCACCGATTCCGGGAGCGGCTTCGAGGTGCGATTTTGGATTGGTTGGTTGAAGGGACCACTGTTTGTTTTTAGCGGACGAAAGATTATGGAAAAAAAAGAAATTGACGATAGTAACCTAAATTGCTAAATTGGCAGTGGTACCTTCTCCCAGAAAATTGGTACTTCTGTATCGGTAAAAATGCAACGTTCGCATATAACTGACATAAGCATTGTTTCTATAATATATTATTGTATATAATGTATAGTATATATTTATTTATTGTGTTTATAATAATATATATAATATAATATAAATTATATAATATAATAAATATTATATTTATAATATTATATATATTTATATTTATATAAAATATATGTATAATATAATTAATATATATTATAATATATATATATATATATATATATATATATATAAATATTAAAATATATATAAATATGTATTTTATCGATACAGTAAATTCCCCCCTCAACTTGTAAACAAAAATCGACAATTTAGGAAGAAGAGATACGATTATTCGAGCTTCGCACGTGATTTTTGTAATTATTGACAATCGGCAACTATAAAAATGAGCCGCGAGGTTCGAATAATCGCATCTCCCCTTCCCAAATGGTCTTCGAATGGTCTCCAATCTTGGTTCACAAGCTGAAGGAAAATTGGGAAAAATTTACTGTCATTAGTTTGATGCGACGATCTTAACAGATAGCGGAGGACAAATCGAAGGAAGAGAAAATCGGAAAGATGAAGGAAGCCTGGTTCGCGGAGAATCCGGACAGCATGGCGCGCGGCAAGCAGCTTCGTGAAGAGTTCCGAAAGAAACACGAGATCGTGCCAGAGGTCTCCGAAATAGACACCAGGAAGAGGCACATGAGCGAGTGTTGCCCGGACGTTCCGAGGTCCATGTTAGAGGAACGAACCCTGGAGCCTCCTCGTTCGTTTCGCAAGCTTCCTCTGCTGAAACTGTCCGATTACGAGGTGAAAGAGGACGAGGAGGACGTCCCGTGGTTGAAGACGATCTACGACGAGGAGATCCTGAGGAACACGCGATTGGCGCACATCATTTACGCCCAGGAGGACTATAATTACTCTATCGAGGAGTTGAGCGGACTGATGAAAAACCGAAAGGAACGGTATCGGATGCTTTTCCAGGAACACCAAGGTCAGCTGTCCAAGAGGAGGACCATCGTGGAGGACGTTTACGAGTTGCGGAAGTCTTATATCGCGACCATGAAGTCGGAGAGCGGCAAGGGCAGCAGGAAGAGCATGAAGACCAGGAGTTCGAAGTCCAAGAAAGTTTGATGTCATCGTTTGCGAAGATGGTACAATAGTTAATTGTTTTCTTGGGTTTTTAATCAATTTGATTGGAAATGTTGGATTCTCGGAAACGGACAATGGAGGTAGATCGCGGATTTTATGCATTTATGGCAGAATTTTATGGCTGCAATTTAAGGCAGTAGACACAATGAGATCATTTGAAAGTGTCAATGTATTATGTTCAATCTATTCAAGTTATCGAAGAACAATTTTTAGTTATCGAAGACAATTTTTATTTCGCATAAAAATCCACAGACTAAATGGAGACTTGGGTTTTGAAGGAAGCAATTAATTTGATTGGAAATGTTAGATTCTCGGTTGTTGATGGTGTTGGCGAAGATAGTTGTTAAAAGAAACGGACAATGGAGGTAGACCACGGATTTTATGCATTTATGGCAGAATTTTATGGCTGCAATTTAAGGCAGTAGACACAATGAGATCATTTGAAAGTGTCAATGTATTATGTTCAATCTATTCAAGTTATCGAAGAAAGAACGAACTTGCTATTCATAGCTCACATTTGTTGCGATTGATGAAGACAATTTTTACTTTGCATAAAAATCCGCAAACTAAATGGAGACTTGGGTTTTGAAGAAAGCAATCAATTTGATTGGAAATGTTAGATTCTCGGTTGTTGAAGGTGTTGGCGAAGATAGTTGCTAAGACAAACGGACAATGGAGGTAGACCGCGGATTTTATGCATTTATGGCAGAATTTTATGGTTGCAATTTAAAGCAGTAGATACAATGAGATCATTTGAAAGTGTCAATGTATTATGTTCAATCTATTCAAGTTATTGAAGAAAGAACGAACTTGCTATTCATAGTTCACATTTGTTGCGATTGATGAAGACAATTTTTACTTCGTATAAAAATCCGCAAACTAAATGGAGACTTAAGAAACAACCATGTATACGAATTTCATTTTTAATTCGTGTATTAAAAATACACACTGCGAAACTAATAGGTGCGAAACTCATTCGACGACTAAAATATGTCGATACTAAACTTGCCGAGCATCAGAAGCGATTAGTATGAATTTCTTTATAAGAAAGACAACATAGAATGTATTTAAATTTGTTGCCATTTTTACCATAACGTATGCTTAAAATTTAGCAATTCTTTCTATTATTTCCTATCAAACAGTCTTCACAGTTTCAATTTATTAGAGTCTTCTTAGGATTACCGTTGATAAACAAGTGCCTTTCACGCTGAAAGCTAGTCGACGCTCATTGTCTCCCACAACTGAAAAAGTTACAACAGCGTCGCCAAAGATGAAAACTCCGCGTCCTTGTTCCGAAGAGAGGTCGCAGTAAAAACCGACTCAGGACCCCGTTCGTTATCCAATAAAATTCTGACGCGCTCTCGCACGCAGCAAAAAAGCGTGATTTAGCAGAAAGCTCGCGGAACCGTCGGGCGCATTAATCCGTCGTTGAATAACAAGCCGATCCAGCGACGTGATAAATGTCCACGTGCCGGGATATTGATTACGTTGATTCTGGAAGGTCGCCGGGACCACGGCGGTTTCTAAATTGCTCCACATCGACGTCCCTAATCGCGGCCGGCAATAATAATCGGTGATTCGCGAGCTGCCAACCGGAATCGATTTTTCAAGCCGGGACTATCTCGATCGGCGGGTACATGTTCCGGGACTCGGACAGAACGTTTCGCGGTTCTTTTGCATCCTATCAGCCGGCGGTTATGGCACTCGAGGCACCGACGACGGGACACCTTTTAACGACGCTTCCCTAGCCTGCGCGAACGAAAAGAGAAGCACGCCGATCCGTTCCGTTCATTTTTCATCCGGGACCAGTCCCCGGACTCCGGCGAGATTATTACGAAACTACGGCCAGCAGCCGAGGAAGAGGTCTAGGTTAAGCGCGAGAACAGGTAATCTGCTCGGGAGCCGCGATATTTTACCCTCGACCAAGCCGATCCACCGTTTGATAATACTGCGCGTCGCGCGATTTCTAATTAAATCGGAAATTTCAATCTGTTAGGCAACGATTCGAGAATTAACGAGCCGGCGATTCATTTATCTTCCAGGTTACTGTTCTCTGAAAGACCGTTCTATCTGTTTTATACCCGTGATTGGAAATTTTAGGTATTCCGGTTGGTGTGCAATTATTTCCGTGCATTTATAGTACGCTCTTTTGTACAATGCAATGAAATATTAATGGTAACAAATGCTGGTGAATTTTATCTTTCTTCATTCTGGATCGTACATCGTAAATACTTTCTTAGGTAAACTGATTCATTAATTGAATAAAAAATAATATTAAAAGTATAATCTTTTGTACAATGCTATGAAACATTGATGGCAGCAAATACTGGTGAATTTTATCTTTCTTTGTTCTGGATTGTACATCGTAAGTGCTTTCTTAAATAAACTGATTCAAAGTTGATATTTGGTATTAATTGAATAAAAAATAATATTAAAAGTATAATCTTTTGTACAATGCTATGAAACATTGATGGCAGCAAATACTGGTGAATTTTATCTTTCTTTGTTCTGGATCGTACATCGTAAGTGCTTTCTCAAGTAAACTGATTCAAAGTTGATATTTGGCATTAATTGAATAAAAAATAATATTAAAAGTATAATCTTTTGTACAATGCTATGAAACGTTGATGGTAACAAATGCTAGTAAATTTTGTCTTTCTTCATTCTGGACTGTACATCGTAAGTACTTTCTCAAGTAAACTGATTCAAAGTTGATATTTAATATTAATTGAATAAACGATAATATTAAAAGTACGAAATTGCCTTCGACAGGATTGCAATATATTTATTTATTTATTGCAATCCTGTCGACGGCAATTTCGTACTTTTAATATTATCGTTTATTCAATTAATATTAAATATCAACTTTGAATTTATTTAGCCTCAGACTATAATTAGAACGCGACTATAACTTGAACGCGTTAATAAATTCAATCTTCAACTATTCATCTCTTATCTCACGAAATCGATGCCGAACAATCTTCGCACAGAGATCCGCGAACGAGTGGAATCAACGCAGGAAACAGCAGAAGAATTAAAAATTGCCGTGACAAAAATTAGCACGCAATGGCAACCCCTGAAAATCCTATTCTCATCCGGCATTTGCTCGCGGTAGAAGCCCGTGGCCCGCTCGGGTGCGTCGTCAGGGACACGTTCCCGCGCGTGTACGTACACGCTCGTGGATCACGGTAGCAGACATTGGCTAGGTAAATTGCCACCGGTAGTCCGTAAAGGCCGCCATGCCACCCTGATCGTAATTCGTCCCGCGAAGGACGAGACCGGCTAACAAACACGATCGACAGTGATTACCAGTCGGCTGCCAACCGGGCGGCCCGTTGCTGCCGTGCTGGTCGCCGACGGTTCCACGGACGTTGCAACCTGCAACACGAACGCCGGTGCACCTGTAATCAACGCACGCACACTGGGACACGCTGCCACCTTCGTACGCCGGAGAACAAAAAAAAAGAAAAAAAAAAGAAAAACGACGCGACGAGATTCCTCGAGTCCCGAGACCGCGGCGCTTGTAACATTTCAACCAGAACGCTGCTGTAATTATCATGATACAGTAAATTCTGTCTAATTCGCGGTCGGATCGCGCATAAAAATAGACAATTTCGGAAGAGGAGACACGATTGTCGCGTGCATTGCGGCCCGTTTTTATAGTTGCCGATTGCCAACAATTATTGAAACGGGACGCGACGCTCGAATTAATCGTACACTTCTCTTCCCGTATTGTTCACTTTTTATGCGCAATCTAAGCGCGAATTACGGAGAAATTACTGTACAAGCCGAGAGTCAATTGAAGAGAATTTACTGCGCTTCGGCGATTTTTGTAGCGATTCTTGCGCTTCGACCAGACGAAAACGAGTTTGATTAAGTGAAACGCGAATGAGAATGAACAATCTTTTCTTCCGAACATTTTGCGACAAAATGATGGTCGCGACCGACAAAAGATCGAAGATCGACGGCGGTGATTTTCTTAAGAAATTCTTCCACAGTGACAGCAATTTTATCGATTATCCTTCGAATTATTTGGATCAGTACTGCATACGGTGAAAAAAAAAAACGCTGATTGCAACAACACAAGTTTCTTCTCAAAACGATTGTTTGAAAGGAAGTTGTCGAGCGTTTTTTACATGTAACTCAGCCATTGAAAGAAAAAGTGCCTATTAATGAAAAAGTGAGAAAACGAAAGAGTGAGAGTGAGAGAGAGAGAGAGAGAGAGAGAGTTTTTACATTCTTATTTATTCCAAGTAACAGCGAAATTAAAAAGAAAAGCATCTCAATCATTGTACAGTGAACTAGCCCCTCTAACATTTACAAAAAAAGAAAATTCAAATTATTTCGACCTTTTTGAACAAAGTCAAGTCGTTCTAAAAGGTGCGTGGACACTTTCGCTCCGATTTGCTGGGTTGAAATCGGTTAAAATTCGGTAAATTTGAAGGAAGCAAATAGTCTTTTAGAAGCGTTTGCAGTCGTTTGCAGATCTAAAATCGGCGTCCACCGGAACAACAAAATAGCGTAGAATATTTAGCGCGTCTAATGCAGTCGAGGACCACCGACTACACGATGCTCTTCGTCAAAGCAGTCTCGCGGTGCGGAAGAATCCGCGGAACTCCGTTTCGTGCGGCTCGTTTGCCAGCAGGCATTCACGGCAGAAATCAAGCGCGCGGTTATAGCGAGCCGTTGAAACAGAAGCTTCTCGTCATCTCGAGGCCTCAAAGGGCCGACGATAAATCTCGGTGAGTTATTAAAGCGGGAGGATTCCTGAAAAAGAAAGGACGGAGAGTACAATGTCTCCGCTCGATTTCTTGCCGCGTCGGTTTATCAATGAACGTCCGGCTGATTTTCGGGCGCCGTGAACGCGCGCCGCGGAACGCCGTCGCGCGTAAAATACGGCGGTTAGTTTAACGTTTCCGCGATAAAGCGAAGGAAAGCCGGCGTAGTAAAACTCTGTAAACGGCCGGCAGAGAAAAGAAGTGGCATAGCTGCCGTTAATCATTCGCCGATTTCCTACGCGGAGCTGCAACGCGCGATTTCCATCGTCATCGCGAATCGGAAAATCGCGGTTTACGAGCCGGTCTTCGCCGGTTTTGCGGGCCTCGAGCACAAAGGAACAAAGGCACCGGCGCGATTTATGCGTCCCCGTTAGGTCCGTGCCATCTGTCGACGTTTCTCTCCGTTTCGTCGCGCGTGCACCGCGCCGAGTCGCGTTTTCCGCTTCGCCGTTCAAGTTTCTGCGACTATTTCCTTCAATAATTCTAAAGTTACGATCGTCCGCGATAAGTTCCGCTCGATGTCCGCGAAAGTGGCCACTGGTTTGCCTAAAATCAATTGCCGATAGTTTCTTTTATCTTTTTCTTGAGCGTTCGTAGGAAATCGATTGAGATAAAAGCGACAAATGCGAAAAGGTAGAAGCAAAATTAATACAGGATCTAAGCTAAATTATTTTTCGAAGTGTTCGAAACATTGAATGCGCAGTATGTTAATTCTCAATTGTTAATCGTTGATGACATTTTAAGGATTCTGTAACTTGGAAATTCCGAACTGGAGAGATAATCCCGCGTTCGGCATCAAGAAAAGGATGTTGTAATAAACACGTTGAGAATAGACATTCTGTTTCATTGTGATCGTCAGCACCCGCATGCGACTTCCTTTATCACCAACGGGACTATTCATTGAGGACCATTTTAATGGAACAAGATAACACAACGATTCTGAAAAGGGCAAAGAAAGTTGACGATTCATCGACGACGTCCAGTCGAGGACTTTTGTCTAAGTAGTTCGGGAATCGTGATTTTGGCAGTTGAGTGCACACTTTTTTGTAAACTATGATGCAAATCGGTCAAAGTATTTAGAGAATTGAATAGAAAAAAATTCTATCTATGTCATGGACATTTTTAGGTTCCTCCTTGCTGCCTAAAATTTTTCTACATTTACTCGAGAAAGATACAAATATTCATATATCTTATTCAAAATCATTAATATATTAATTTAAATTATATATATTAATAAATCATAAATATTCATATATATTCATCAAAATAAAAATCTTCCGAGTCGATTCTAAGCAGTAGAAGCTATATAATTCTAGCTTAATAATCATAATGAATACAATATTATTAAATCCTTTCAATCTCTTCACAATTTTCTTTTCCAATTACTCTTATCTGTCAGAAATTCATAAAATCCGTAGTCTACTAATCACAAAGCGAAAATGATGAAGTATGAAGTATGTATAGGATCATCGCAATACGGTTTCGATGCACTTTCGCAGCCGAGATTGATGCATTATTTCGAAGCGTCGCGATATCGTAGCGCCTTGACAGTGTCGTCAGCTGACAATAGATGTTTTTAATCGTTCCGAGCGGAAGTAATGGCTTCTTAACGCGTTTATTGGTCCAGAACACAGAGGCCAATGCCGTTCGCGTTTCCCAATCGAAGCTTCAGTCTCGTTTGATAAAGCTTGACTGCGTCTCGTATTAACAGAAATTAATTCATTCCACGTTCGCCACAAGGAATTTTCTGATTGGTGTAAGAAATCGTTTTCTTCTTCGGTATTTTATGAAATGATTGAATGTGAATTTTCATAAAATTTGCAGTCTGGTAATTAGTTACTTCGTAGATACAGTAAATTCTCTCCAATTGTCCCTCAGCTTGTTCACAAAAATGGGCAATTTGAGAAGAGGGGATACGATTATTCGAGCCATGCATCTCGTTTTAATAATTGTTGACGATCGGCAACTGTAGAAATGAGCCGCGAGGCTCAAATAATCGTACCTCCTTTCCCAAAATTGTCCATTTTTGTTCCCAAGCTGAGGGTCAATTAGGGAAGCCTTTCACAAAGGTTTAATCAGAAGAAAAATAAAACTTCCTTTAACTAGTATAATTTTCCGCGAATAAAAAAATATAGTAACAACAGCGGGGATTCGTGATTATTTAGCTTACTACAAGCTTACGCAGATCTTGTTCTGCTAAAAAGTGTTAAATAATTAATTTACTAGTACGAAACTCGAAAACAAAATATCTCGAAAACGAAGGCTCATTGCGAAGAATCGTATTAGGGTTTTTTTGATACTAAATATGTATCCAACTTGTATCTACTATCGTTGCAAAAGCGATCTTGTATGCATAGGACGATCGATAACTAATAATTCTGTTACAATAAAATGAGAATTGTTACAATTTCGAATAATTTCAGGCACTGGAACAGACGGGGCGTCGCGCTAATTCTTCGTCGATCGACGGGAAAATGTTTGCAGCCTAGAACGGCGCCGATTGGAGAGCCAGAGGGTTCGTCTCTCGGTTACGTTACGAGCGGAGGCCGATCTTGTTGACAGCGAGGAAGAAAAAGAAGGGTTGGGGACGATCCGTGGCCGCTGTTCGCGTTCTCGGTCGTCAGCTGGACGGGGCCGCGAGAAAACGGGCAGGGAAAGGAGGGAAAGGGCGCGTGGGGGGAAGGAGAGACGCGAAGACGAGGAAAGAGAGCCTCTTCTCTCCAGATGAGCCCTCTCTCGGAACCGCTCGTCCACAATTTGCCGCTCCAGTCTCGCGTCGAGTCCCGTCGGCGCATCTTTTCGGGGCTCGTTCCCTCGTTGCTCCTCCGATTCTCGTCGCCGCAGCGTGTCGCGTCAAGTGACCCCCGAAGAACTCATTCTTCCCACCGATTAATCGACCGCGCTCGCCCCGAAATCGATCTCACTTAAATCGCGATTCTCGATCTGATCGATCGAGTCCGAACTTCTTCGACGCCGTCCGGGCGCAGCCTCTTCTCGGGGTGTAAAGACCCCCCCGTTCGACGAGGAAACCCGCGACCGACGCGATCGAGGGGACACGTGGGTGGATCGGGATTTTAAGTGCTCCTGGTGATACTGTGGATTATTGGTAGCTCGTCGTGGAGTTATGTTGATGGTTTCGTTGACAGGTATGCTATCCCCGGTTAGGCGGAGGTGTCGCGAGAGTTGTTGCTCCAGGTTTCTCGACGGTTCTCGGAGAACCGAAACTGTGCCTGAGCTAGTCAATTTCTTTAAAGATACGGATCCTACGGAAAACTATTTTGAAAGTAAAGATGGAACGGGAGAACCGAGTTTCTGCCGGTTGATTCGTCTTGGCTGAATAGTAAACTGTGAAGACGTTAGGGACGGACATCGTAATCCTCTTCCATCTTCTTCGATCTTCTAAACATTTTAAGAAGTAAATTCTTAATTTAAGACGTTGGAAGAAGAGCTTAACGATCTTGATCCATTTCTTTTCAATTTACGAAAATTATTATACAATTTTATAATATTATATTATTATTATATCATGATATTATATTAATATTATATTTTATAAATATTATACAATCAAATATCTAATCTAAGGCGTTCAAGAAGCTTAAAAATCTTGTTCTACTTTCTTCAATTTATTAAATCGTTCACTAAGAGATACAGTTTCAATCTAAGACGTTAGAAGAATTTTAAAACACTGCCGCAGATATCCGAATAACTTATTCTATTTTCTTCAATTGATTAAATCGTATATTAAGAGATAACAATTTCAATCTAAAACGTTAGAAGAATTTCAAAACATTGCTGCAAACATCATCAATTTATTAAAAGTATTAACAAATACATTTTTAATCTAAGACACGAAAATAACTTACCAATCAACTTCCAATTAAAAAATAGACACAAATGCATTTTTAATCTGAGACATCGAAATATCTTATCAATCATCTTCCATTATCTTCGATCTACTCGAAATGTTGAAAAACGTATTTTTCAATCTAGGACATCGGACAAATTGCAGGATATCATCTTCGATATATTAAAATTCGCAGCAGGAGAGAATATTCCGTAGGCTGATTATAAAAATTCAGTAGGATTCCAAGCGATGTCGCATCTATTACAGTGAACATAAAACGCGGAAAGGTTAAAGTGACCATAGCGAATGATTCGCTTCGCCGCAGCAATTAGCCGCGACGGTAATAAACGTTTTCGAGTCGCGCGTTTCGTCGCCGCGATATTCTCGGCCCCGGCGCGTACGCGTCAATCCGCTCCGCTTCTGATAGAACGTGCGAACAAGTCCGATCTCTTTTTGCCGGAGTTTTGCACGAGCATACCAGGCTTTATGGAACTATAATGATAGCCTCTGCTCGGCCCGCTTTTACGTTATGATAACGAGGGAAAGCAGAGCGGTTAGGCGTGTATCTCTTAGGCGAGATCGTCCCCGTGTACTCTTTTTCTTGCCGCGGAGTCCTTCGGCGTTTTCGGGATGAGAAATTTCCATGCGAGAGGAGCTCGTCCGTTTCGATGAGAAATATTTAGTGCGATGGCTGCTTAGTTTGATAAATGTGTCAGGGACTGACGATAAGTTCCCCGCGATTAGATTGTTTTTCGGTCGTTGCTGTTAACGTATTAGCAACGTTGCTTGAGGTGCACGCACGTTTCTAGATAGTTGAATGAAATCTTCGAAAATTACGCTGACTTCCCCGGTAATGTCAACAGTGTTGTTTTTATAAATCGTTGAGCTTTTTTGTTCGTTTGGATTCTTTCCTTTTTCGCGACTATTTTATAGACTTCTCGCCGCTTGTGCTTGTAAAGCGTTACAAAGTACACATTTGTTGACTAGTCACGATTAGACTGCGGATCTTCATGCGTCTACGATACTCGCAAATTTTAGAAATATGAAGAAATATTAATTATATAATTGTTCTACGTTCAACACAAGAAACTGTACAGTCGATAATTTCTGCAGATTTTCATGAAAATGAATTAGAAAGCGGACGAATCAAACAATCATGGTTGCACTGTTTTCTAGAATAGGATCACATTTTTATCAATGCATCGATGATCGACGTTGTCGGAAGTTATTAAATGATAAACTTCTGTCGGTGTTTCGGGGTCGGTTTCGTAAAAATCGAGCACAGCGCTGGTCTCTAAAATTTTGATCAAACCGTAAAATTGCTCGCTCGCGATTCCTCGCTGCCAGAGAAACAGCTATTGTGGATATTTATATCAGAAGATAGTTCCATCTATCTCATCGTACTAATTTGGTGCTTCCGGAAAGGCGTCATAGTCAGCGCGGAATCGCGACAATTATCGCCTGTTGTCACTCCGCTCGGTTTACGTGGCGAAATTCTCGGTTTCTCTTGCGAAATAAATGATCAAAGATGAAACGCTGTATTCGCAACGAGTTGCTAAGTGCCTTCAACCGAGCTCGAAACAGTTGATCACATATTACGAAATCGATACATTTATTCAATTTTCCGTGGCGCACGGTTTTTGCATTATCTGAGAAACCTTGAGCAACAATTCCATCATCACGATCTGCTGACATCCGCAGACATAGTTGCCGATGATGCGTTTGTTTGCACTAGTCTTCCTACTCTTTGAACCCGAATTATCGATTCAATATCAGCATTATTAGCAGTTACTTTAAAATTCGATTCTGATGGAAAGGTCATCGATCATCGTCTATTTATAATATTGCTATAATCATTGTGAACAAGTTATCTAGAAACTGCAGCAAGAATGAGACAGGATCCGATACAAAGATTAATGTTGATCTCGATGAAGTAGGTACAAAATCCTGTAAAAGAGAAATCGATGCTTCAAGGGTCGAACGGATCGAGTCATGGTTGCCATGAAGTCGTTGGAAACCTTTCGGGGGTTGTAGCAACCCTATATTTAAACATACAATGTATCCTATCATAGATTGTCCTTTAATTAGACCATTTTAAAATTTTTAATATAAAAAATTGACGCAACGAGGATTTTGTTACTGTCATCCGAAACCGAAAATAATTTATGTCGATAATATTATTAGCCAATAAAATGAAATCACTATTTGTAGAACTGAAAGCCAAAATTTGTATAGAGATATATTTGTGACTGATATAAAATTTATACAATTTGAATGAAACTTATACAATGTGAATAAAACTTATAGAGTTTACATAATATTTGTACAATTTATATAAAACATTATACAATTTACACAATATTTATGCAATTTATATAAAACACTATACAATTTATACAATATTCATACAATTTACATAACATTTATACAATTTATATAAAACCCTGTACAATTTTCGTTGCATGCTCATAGATGAAATAATTGAAAAACTTGATCTGTTAAAAACTTTTGTCATTCCACATAATTTCAACTTTTTCAACAATTTTCAATACATTCACTGTCAAACTAGCATTATTAACATGTCAAACAAATTCATCTCGTTTGGTCCAATCTAAGAAAAGTCATTCCGTCTTCAAATAAAATAAAACATATTCGTCCACGACTTTATAATAAGTCTAAAATTTCACTGAAATCGGCCACTCGGCGACCCGAATAATCACGAAATGAGTTCAATTGACATAAGAATCGATCTAGGAAGAAATTGAAAAGTTTATAAAAACATTGATATCATGAACGACGTCCTAACTCGGCGAGTCTCCTCCAATCGGGACCGCGTGAAAAAAAATACGCTGGATCGTTTCAGGCTTGCGCGATCGTGAAACAACCGAGCACCCGTCGGATCGAGAACCATGATCGAGGCTGCGATCGTGGTGGCGATCGCGGAGCATCGTTGCTGAATCGTCCCGAGCCCTCTGGAGTGCTCGCGTTCCAGGATCGATCGGGGATCATGCGCGTGCAACGAGCCGTCATCGATCGCGCGACGGACTAACGAATAATCGTGGCTCGTTGATTCCGGACCGTGGAAAAGCAGGCTGTTGTCGTTCGATCCGCGGGAACCGATCGGGATCGGGAGAAAATGCCGAAGTCCGGGGATCTGTTGTTCGCCGGTGTGTGGCTGTTGCTGCTCGTTCTCCGAGGAGCCTCGACCACGGGACAACGAAACACCACCAGCCCCGGCCAGGATCTGGATAACACCTTGCAGTCGGTACCACCTCTCGGGTGAGTATACATCGACTTATCGCCCATTCCCATGAAATCGCCGTCGGCCGATCGCCGCGAGGCCCACCCAGATCTATGATAACCGATCGGCACAGTAATTTCCGAGCTCTGATCACTAAGGCTGCGCGCCGCGCCGACTAACTTCTCTTCCTCCCCGTTTGTTGCTAATCGGCTGATCGGCTCTCCTTATTGGAGGCTTTTGCATCGTATGTGGGTCAGAGATCTTTGACCACGTTCACTGGCCAATAGCAAAAATTGCCTGCACAGTGGGACCTCGATTATTCGAACGAGTTTCTTGCTGTACCATTTTCTTCAAAGTTATAACGATTAGAATTTAGATTTTAGATTTAGATTTAGATTTTAGATTTTTAGATGTTTGATTTTTAGATCTTTAGATTTTTAGATTTCTAGATTTTTAGATTTTTAGATTTTTAGGTTTTTAGATTTTTAGATTTTTAGATGTTAGATTTTTAGATGTTAGATTTTTAGATTTTTAGATTTTTAGATTTTTAGATTTTTAGATTTTAAGATTTTTAGATTTTTAGATTTTTAGATTTTTAGATTTTTAGATTTTTAGATTCTTAGATTTTTAGATTTTTAGATGTTAGATTTTTAGATTTTTAGATTTTTAGATTTTTAGATTTTTAGATGTTAGATTTTTAGATGTTAGATTTTTAGATTTTTAGATTTTTAGATTCTTAGATTCTTAGATTCTTAGATTTTTAGATTTTTAGATTTTTAGATTTTTAGATTTTTAGATTTTTAGATTTTTAGATTTTTAGATTTTTAGATGTTAGATTTTTAGATGTTAGATTTTTTATTTAGATTTTAGATTTAGAATTCGCGCCAAATTAGCACGCGAATACATAATTATTACCAGAACTATCTAACACTATGACTAGATTCATTTGCATTGCCTTGTCAAAAACACTACGCACGACTCATTTATATTACCTTATCGAATCGATAAGACTGCATTATTTTAACACTAAATTTACGGATCACTAAAGGTAAAGTAACGATAACAGATTTATTCTGATCTTAAACGAGTGGTATTGTAATATTTGCAGCAAGTAACTCATAAATGTATCTTTACAATCTGTACAACTATAAATTAAAACATTCGTGTAATATGTGCTCGAATAAATAAAGACAGCTAATCAGTTTCCTACAAAAGAATCTTAACGATTCGAATAGTTGAGAAATAACAAATTTTTTTGAGACTAGTGATTTTTTACTGTTAAGAAGACTGGATAATCTTATTGCAACTGTTGCGAAAATCATTATAATTTACGATTCCAACAATCTCAAAATAAAAAAATGACTAACAAAACTCGTGCGTGGAAATGAAGGAAATAATTCTAATAGTAATCTGTACGATTAATTGGGAAGAGAGTTTTCGAGATACAATAGAAGCACGAGACATGAATGCTCAGATAATGGAACAGTTACTTATCATTACCTAGAACAATTACTATTCGATTTTTCCGAAAAATGGTCGAACTTTAATCTCCGAAGCTTTAGTTCCGATGCTCGAAGCCTCTACCTTCGTTTCCCCGAGACTCTTTCGCATGGCACGCCGCGGCCGCAGGGTTCTACGGTGTGTACCAGAGCGAATAGATCGAAACGACGGACACGTGATAAACATAACGCCGTGGCGAGGCGCGCATCATTACGTCACTCGCATCGAAAAAAGAAACTAGAGCAGAAAGTTCGTTGCCGAAGCGATTTCACTGCAGCCCTCCGTCGCAGGGCCAAGTAAAAATAGAAACGAGCTGAAAACAGCTTTATCACCGGCATTCCCACGCCCTGGAAGTTGGGGAACTTGTCAAACGGCTGCCACTTGCCGCGTGAGAATTGATCGTGGATCTGCCCGATCGATCCCGCCACTTAATTACTTTAACCGTCGTTAAAGATCGTCGCGCTGCACGTTCACACGCGGCGAGGATCCCTTGACGTTCCATTAGCATGATAATCGCCGATGGTATTGTCAATCGTCTTAAACATTGCGATTTGATAATCGCGATATATTCCTCCGATTTATCCATCTGTATCACAGAATTTAAAGAAATTATGCATAAAAATATTATTATATGATATAAATATGATATAAATATATATATAATATAAATATAAATATATCAAATATTATTATAGCTTCTTCTCGGGTTTTCTGATCGAGTTTGCGATTTTGCTGGAAAATTTGATCGGTCCGGTGCCATTTTTATCGCGTAGTTCAAAGCTGACGCTTTGAATATCGATACCAAAAAGTTCCTCGAGATCAAAGCGATTCTCTTCCGAGCTCCGATTTTCTCTACGTTTACTTTTGTTTCATGTTTCAGCCTAAGAAATAAATTTACAAGTTCAAGCTCTTTAAACGAGCGTATGAAATTGCAACGCATGAAACACAGTTCAAAAAACCTGAATACAGAAGGTGGATATATTTTCTCCGATCTGTAAATATTGCAGCTTCGACTCGTTTAGACGCCACAAATCCGAATAAAATTCGTCTTATTGAATCAATTATCGGCAAATAAATTAACGGCGTATCGACGAACGTCATCGCGCGAACTATTTCAACGGAAATGCAAAATCCCGACGAGACGTTTCCAGAAAAATAACCAACGTTCTCTCTCTCTCAGTCCTCCGTTTCATTTGCATTCGCAGCCACGCTGAGCCACGTTCAGGATCCCGATAGGCGAGATTACGATCGTGGAAAGGATCCCGAAGCGTCCGCGAGTTCGCGTAATAAGCGACCGCGCGGCTAACGCGGATTATCGGATCATAATTCGGGATATAAATTATTCGTGCGTGTAATTTATGGCTGATACGTTGGTTTTAGGGTTCACTCGAAGCGTGCACGCTCGCGGAACAGACGATGACCGCTCCGATCGAGCGGCTTTTCCACCGGATTATCTCGCGGATCCTGGCTAATTACACGCGGCGGAATGCGCGGGGATTAGGCCGCGGTTATACTGTTATCCTACGCTCGTCTGCGAACGGAATACTCGCTTCAAGCTGATAGCTGATTATTAGAACTTATTCAACAATCTTTTATTAACCCGTGTGGACGATTTCAGTTGTTTTAACGATCAGCTATTAGCTTTTATAACGATTTTTGTCTCCCATTCCGCGAGCTGTTTCCGGAAAACCCGAGACGCGGAGACTTTCCGCTTCGACGATCTTCGAGGGATAAACGCGAAATCGACGATTTCGAGCGGCACCAACGTGGGTTTGGCGTTAATCGAGGCTTCCCCGAAGGTCACGGTGGAAGCTGGCAAATCGCGCTGACGAAACGCCGCGCCGCCGACAGGCTGAGAACGTTCCCAGGCGATCGCGGAAAAACGTTTCCGCCTTGAAACCGGCAGCCATGGTCAATTGGGCCGAATCAACGGATAATAATAGTCCATCATCCATTTGGATCAACGTCGGTTCTCGAAATCGTTTGAAAACGGCGACGGCGCACGGAACCTCGCGCCTTTCGCGGCGCGCGAGCGCGAAACGGAAAGGACGCGAAAGAAACGCGACGGCGTAACGTAACGCGCGAGATAACCCAATTAGGTGTTATCGCGGCTTCTTCGACGCGACGACGCTCCCCGGGATTATGGCCGGGCTTGCCACAATCTGCGATCTCGCGACACTTTTTTTCCAAAGTTGCGAGACGAAGAAGATTCTCGACGATGCTCTTTATCTTCTGCCTCTTTCGGGTCGTTACACTTTGGTTTTTGCTACGTGGGCTCCGTTTTTGCATTGGAATTTTTGCGGAGTCGTAAAAGGAATTCTAGGAGGAGCAGTCGTTGTAGTTGTGTGTTAATAAAATGTTATTAAGTGTGAAAAGTAGGTGTGAACTTTGAATGATGTGGCTATCATTGAGATAACAGTTTTATCTCATGCTCTCTCTCTCTCTCTCTCTCTCTCTCTCTCTCTCTTGAAATTCATATCTTGGTAATCATTCACTTGGATATTTAATTCTTTATTGTATTAGCAATATTTCATATACTTTATACATATATTTTATATTTTAATATTTATATTTTGAGTTTTAATAATCTATTTTATCTTCCTCGTTCTCTTTTTCATTTCTCCGTCAGAATTTTTGGAGACTTTTAAGAGGAATAATAAGGAGACTACAATTTCATTTAATATAATAATAATGTAATAATAATAATCCAAATAGTACGTTTTCTATCCATATTCAGAGCGAAGATTTCTTCGAGGGTTGTTGAGAAAACTGCATTATTATTCAGTGTTAAATGAACAATGAAAAAAGATGCATGAAACGCGCTTATCTAGTCTCTCACGAATTTGAAGAATGAGTGCAACAATTTTCAACTGTTAAATATATAATTTATATCCCTAATATTTAAAAATCATCTTACAATAACATTTATTTCATTTTACTTGAAACTCCTGCAGCCACTTGCATAATAAGAACTACACATCGCAGTCGCTATTTTATTTCAATAAAAGAACGTACCCAAAATTCGATTGCCTCGAAATAACTCGAAAATTCCAACGAAACATCGAACAAGGGTTCGATAAATCTGGCGGGAAATTCGTGCTCGCGTCGGAACGTATTCGTCNGATAATAATAGTCCATCATCCATTTGGATCAACGTCGGTTCTCGAAATCGTTTGAAAACGGCGACGGCGCACGGAACCTCGCGCCTTTCGCGGCGCGCGAGCGCGAAACGGAAAGGACGCGAAAGAAACGCGACGGCGTAACGTAACGCGCGAGATAACCCAATTAGGTGTTATCGCGGCTTCTTCGACGCGACGACGCTCCCCGGGATTATGGCCGGGCTTGCCACAATCTGCGATCTCGCGACACTTTTTTTCCAAAGTTGCGAGACGAAGAAGATTCTCGACGATGCTCTTTATCTTCTGCCTCTTTCGGGTCGTTACACTTTGGTTTTTGCTACGTGGGCTCCGTTTTTGCATTGGAATTTTTGCGGAGTCGTAAAAGGAATTCTAGGAGGAGCAGTCGTTGTAGTTGTGTG